AAATGCAAAATGGGACAGCCAGTTTGGAAGACAGTTTGGCAGGTTCTTACAAAACTAACCAAACTCTTACCACACAAATCCAGCAATCATGGTCCTTGGTATTTACTCAAAGGAGCTGAAAACTTATGTCTATACAAAAACCTGCATACAGATGCATATAGCAGCTTTCCTCATAACTGCCAAAACATGAAAGCAATAGGATGTCCCTCAGCAATGAATGGATAAACTATGGTACATCTAGACAATGGAATATTATTCAGGGCTAAAAAGAAATGAACAGTCAAGCCATGAAAAGGCATGGAGAAACTTAAATGCATATTACAAAGTGAAAGAAGCCAATCTGAAAAGACCACATACCATATGATTCCAGCTACATAACATTCTGAAAAAGGCAAAACTATAGGGACAGTAACAAAACCAGTGGTTGCCAAGGGTAGGGAAATGGAGGGATGAATAGGCCAAGCACAAAGGATTTTTAGGGCACTGAAAATAATCTGTATGATGCTTCAATAGTAAATGTATATCATCATGCATTTGACAAAACCCATAGAATTTAAGACCAAGAGTGATCCTTAATGTAAACTATGGACTCTGGGTGGTAAGGATGTGTCAATATAGGTTAATCAATTATAAGAAATGTACCACTCCGGTGGGGGATGTTGATAATGGAGATACTATGCATGTGTCGGAGGCAGAGGGCATATAAGAAATCTCTACCTTATGTTCAATATTTCCACAAACCTAAAACTGCTGTAAAAAATAAAGTCTATGAAAACACAAACAAAAAATAGGCAGCCAACTGGACGTGGCCCACAGGCTATATATAGTTTGATGACCAGCTTTTAGAGTATGTTAATCCTGCCTCAGGAATCAAAAAAGGTCTTGTGCCTTCTGAGATGCACAAACCTCTTCTTCCCAGTCTGGGGAATCTCACCTTAATCATAGGAAAATCTTCCTCTGTCCTGTTATTTTTCTCTTAGAGATATGCCATTTCTCCTCTATTTCCAGGACACCAGTTTTAGTCTCCTCAGGTGACTTCAGCTTTGGAAATTCTCATTAGAAAGGAAAATACCCTAGCCATTTCTGTTTTGCATAATATGATTGTGATATAGTCACTGCAGCTCTCTGTTCTCGTGTCAACATTGGGAATAAAAATGATACCCATTTTATAAGGTGCTATGAGAATTAAAGTAGTTCCCATTTAGAAAGTAGTAAAGTACTTGACATTCAGAAGATATTCAGCCATCAGAAAAGATGAATACCTACAGTTTACATCATCATGGATGGAACTGGAGGGGACTATGCTAAGTGAAATAAGTCAAGCAGAGAAAGACAATTATCATATAGTTTCACTCATATGTGGAACATAAGGAATAGCACGGAGGACCACAGGGGAAGGGAGGGAATACTGAAGGGGAAGAAATCAGAGAGGGAGACAAACCACGGGAGACTCTGGACTCCAGGAAACAAACTGAGGGTTACAGAAGGGAGGGGGGTGGGGGGATGGGATAGTTGGGTGATGGTTATTAAGGAGGGCATGTATTGTGATGAGCACTGGGTGTTATACGCAACTAATCAATCATTGAACACCACGTCAAAAACTAATGATGTACTATATGTTGGCTAACTGAATATAATAAAAAAAAATCTTTAAGATCTTCAATAAATTTTAGTTACCATTTTTACATTTATGCTGTTCCATACACCTCTGAACAAAGGAAGCACTTAATCTTTTACTTGCATAAAAGAAAAAGGAGATAATACAGGGGAGAAATATGTTTTAAAAACCTCAAAAGATTATCCTGCTATAGAGAGTTGACACAACAAAGCATTGATTAGAATGGTGGCTAGAATGTTATTTAAGATATTTGAGTGACTGTAACAATAAGATCAAAGACACACAATCTCTGGGGCACCTGGGTGTCAGTTAAGCATCCAACTCTTGATTTTGGCTCAGGTCATGATCTCAGGGTTGTGAGATCGAGCCCCACATCAGGCTCTGCACTAACAGGGCATCTACTCTCTGTCTCTCTCTCTCTCTCAATCCCCTTCTCCCTCTGCCCCTTCCCTCTCTTTCTCCCTCCCTCTCTAAAACAATAACAACAACATACACAATCTCTAGGCAATTCATCAAAATTCTCATGTTTGCCTGTGGACCAAGAGAGGGCAATATGGAGACAACGGAGAGAAACTTGACAAGAAGTCAGTAACCACCAGCCACATCTTCAGGGAGCAGGCAAAGGGTCAACACAACCTTCCAGCTCACCATTAAGAGAACTTAGCTGGATTCAACAAAGCAAGGGCGGTTGAATATAACTTTTACTATCACCCGTCACTCCAGCTAATAAAGAGCCATACAGCTGAGCATTAAATCCCACCCAAAGAGGGTGTGGGCCATGCATCTTTCTTGAAACAAAAGTTTATTTCAACACAAAATTAGCATATATATAATTCTGGCTTTTCCTACTTGTTCATTGAGAAGCAAACCCTAATTTCCTGACCTAGGAAATCAAGCATATGAGATTTCATATTAAAATCCTAGTTTTCTACATTTTGAAGAAATTTAACCTGTGGACTTTTGAAAATACATGGTCACTTTTATACACACTAAGTATTGGCAGTTCTATGCACAAAAGGTGAATTCAGGGTGCCTGGGTGGCTCAGTCAGTTAAGCATCTGTCTTCAGCTCATGTCATGATCCCAGGGTCCTGGAATCAAGTCCCACGTGGGGCGCCCTGCTCCTCATGGAGTCTACTTCACGCTCTACCCCCACCCCCACTCGTTATCTCAATCTCTCTATCTCTCGCTCTCAAATAGTCTTTTTTTTTTAAAAAAAAAGGCTAATTCAAACTAATGCTATCCCTATTTTTAGTTTGTTTACTTATTTTTAAGTTACTATTAATTAAATGGCTTTAACTGCAAATAATACACATTAATCCTTGAACAACATGAATCTGAACTGCATGGATCCATTTATATGAGGATTTTTTCAATAAGTATATTGGAAGATTTTTAGCAATGAAAAAACTCAAGAGACAAACCATGTAGCCTAGAAATACTGAAACAATTAAGAGAAAGTTAGGTATGTCATGAATGCATAAAATACAGATAGATACTACTCTATTTTATCATTTACTACTCTAAAACATACACAAATTTATTGTAAAAAGTTAAAGTTTATCAAAAGTTATGCACACAGACATGTACAGACCATACTTGGTGCCATTCACTTTTAGAAATGTAAACAAATATAAAGATGAAGAATTCAATCAACTGCATAAAATTAACTACAGTACATACTGTACTACTGTAATAATTTCATAGCCACTTCCTGTTGCTATTGCAGAGAGCTCAAGGGTTGCAAGTATCTGCTTAAAATGCCGTGTGACACCAATCATCTCCCCCTGAGCAGTTCATCTCTCTAGTAAATTGCACATGGCAGTAAAAAGTGATCTCTCCTGGTTCTGCCTATTAGCAGCTAAATTTCGGGGGAGTCAAAAGTTATTCATAGATTTTCAACTACACTGGGCAGGGGGAGGCAGAGCCCCTAAACCCTGAGTTGTTCAAGGATCAACTGGATGTACTTTGTGTCACAAAATGTCTTATATATATTTCATATCTAAAAACTTCCCCACATAAGCTTAAGAACAAGTTGAAATTATGAAAATAAAATTCATATTCAGATTACCAAGATACAACCAAATATATTTTAACACACTGAACAACTGAAGATTGTTTTAGTTAACTATCTTTTAAATATCTAAATTAAACCATTCTGCCTATTCATTATTTTATTAACAAAGCACTGTGGGGGTATTTATTGGGAAGCAATGGTGAAAACATCTTCTGTCTCCTTGCCTGGCATCACTCAAACTTTTAGCTTTTGGAACATTAAATTTTCAATTCTAAGTTCAGTCTTATATCAGATGCAGGAACCAATTTTGTACCATAAACTCAAAGCCCCAAAGTTTATTATCAAGTCAGCCTATATATGGCTGTTCATAGTAGCACCTAGATTTCACTTTTTACCTGAACATTTGGTTTCTTGAATTCCAAATATAATAATTAGTTCCTTACCTTTGGCTCAGACATCTAAAGTAGGATCTTGACTCCCTTCTAGAAACCTTTTCTCCTGACCTGTCCAACTCACTAGCTAAGATTTTTGCTCTGTTTAAAACTCAGCTTCATGCCTTCTTTTAAGGTCTACTACTTCACCTGTTCAGGACTGTAGAGCTTTCTCTTCTCCTGCCCCTACCTTATCCTAATTGACACATCTACTCCTAACTAAGCCTCAGTTCTGATAAGTTGCAGGATACAGTTCAGATGTTAGCATAAGTCATGGATATGCAAACTTCCATAGCTAGGAAACAATATATGTATTAATTTGGGGTTTGTTTGAACTTATGTTGTCAGGAATAAACGCTAAAGTAAAATGCTTGCTGATGAACATCCGTAACATTGAAAGAATGAAAATGACTTTGAATTTCCTCAAATTTGCAAGTTAAGATACTAACTTTCACATAAACTAGCCCAAATTATTGTCAAAATTAAATGATCTTGAATGCATGTGATCCTTATTCAATTCATCTAAGGAATTGTTGAAATTGTTGATGACACCTATAGTATCCATATTAATTGTTGATATTCCCCTCCATTAATAACTATTACTTATCCCACTCAGCTTCAGGAGAATGCACTGATCCATTTATGTACCCAGAGTGATATTCTAAATGTTCTAAAATAGCATGGGCAATTGGGTGATGGGCATTAAGGAGGGCACATGATGTGATGAGCACTGGGAGTTATACACAACTGATAAATTATTCAACGCTACATCTGAAACTAATGAACTAATGATGTACTATAAGTTGGCTAATTGAATTTAAATAAATAAATAATGAAATAATGAAATAATGAAATAAAATAGCATGGGCATTAACCAATTAGAATGGAAGCTGGACATAACTTTGGAATACAATAACGATTTTTCCTCCTCATACCATGTTTCAATTGGGTGTTCTATGGACATCCTTCCTGTGATTCACAAAGTCAGGCTTCTCCTTCTAGTGGTTTCTCTTAATCATCTGCATCCTGCCAAGAGGTGAGGAAAGAAAGTAAAAACATGAGGAAGAAATACTTGCTCTGAACCACCCTGACCTGGAGGTGATACACATCACTTCCACACATATTCCATATGCAAAAAAGAGTTATATGTCCCACCAAAATGCAAGAGGCATAAGAGGTACAGCCAGGAAGTATATTCAATGAGTACAAACCACTGTCTTCATCACATATACAATATATTAGAAGGTAAAAAGTACTATGGGATAAAAGTGAGCAAAAGTAAAAAGGATTTTGAGTGTTGGGAAGGAGGTCACAAATTTAAACAACTTGCTCAGAGTAAGCTTCATTTACCCAGTGACAATGGAGCAAAGTCTTAAAGGGGCATATGGGTAGATCCATACATGTATCTAGGGAAAGAACATTTCAGGAAAAACAGTCAGTTCAAAAGCCATGATGTGGGATATTATCTGGTAGGTTCAAGGAAAACTATGAAGGCTGTCATGGTCAGACCAGCATATTGTAGAGGAGGCCTGAGAACTATGGGGGGGGGGTAGATTTTTATAAGCTGTTATAGGCTGAATGTTAGTGTCTCCCCCAAAATGTTGAAGCTCTAACTCCCAATGTGATAGTATTTAAAGGTGGGGCCTTTGGGATGTGACTAGGTTTTGATGAGGTCATGAGGGTGGAGCTCCCATGATGGAATTAGTGCCCCTCTAAGAAGAGAAGACACCAGAGCTTTTTCTCTCTGCCATGTGAGGATACAATAAGAAGCCCTCTGCAAGCCAGGAAGAGGGCCCTCATTAAGAATCAAATCTGTTGGGAGTGCCTGGATGGCTCAGTCAGTTAAGCATCAGACTCTTGATTTGGGCGCAGGTCAGGATCTCACTGTCATGAGATTGAGCCCCACTCAGTGTAGAGTCTGCTTGTCCCTCTCCCTCTGCTTCTCCCCTTGTTCATTCTCTCTGTGTCTCTCTCAAATAAATAAATAAAATCTTCTTTTAAAAAAAAGGAATCAAATCTGTTGGTACCTTAATCTTATACTTCCCAGACTCCAGAACTATGAGAAATAAATGTCTATTGTTTAAACCACTCAGTCTATGGTAGTTTGATGTAATTAACCAAGCTACTAATACATAATATACTGTAAGGCCTTTTGCTTTGACTCTGAAGAAAACAGAGGGCCATTGGTGGAATGTGATTTGAAGAGTGATATGATATGGGTTACATTTAGCAAGACTATTCAGACTGTCATTTGAGAATACACTAGAGTGGGGTAGGTATGGAACATGAGAGACTAGTTAGAAAACTATTACAACAGTCCCAATGAGGGATGATGGTAGACTGGACTGTGTTAGTAGCAAAAGAGATTGTAAGCAGATGCAAAATTCTGGATTTGTTTTGAAGGTGGAGTCAATGTATAAGCTTTCAGAGCTGGACAATTAGAAAGTGGGAGTCATCATTAACTGATATGGGGGAGACTGTGAGTGAAATAAATTTGGGGGAGAGCAAGACTAGAAATCCCTCTGTGGACATATTAATTTTAAAATATCTATTGGAGATCTAAATGGTGCTATCAAATAGTCAGCTGGATATATGATTCTAGAATGAGGAGAGGTCTGGGTCAAAAGATATAAATCTGGCAATTATAAACACACAGACGAAATTTAAGCCACGAGGCAGATGAGATCACCAACAGAGTAAGGAGAGAGAGAGAAAGGATCCAAGGTCTGAGGCCTGAGCCAAAGTAGTGTTAAAAGGTCAGGATAAATAAGACAAATCAGAAAAGAGGAGAGAGAGAAGATGCAGTAGTAATGCAGAAAGAAATCAGAAGAGTGTGGTATCCTGGGAACTAAGTGAAGAAAGAGTTCTCAGAAAAAAGGAATCCTTGACTGTGTAAAAAGCTGCTAATAGTCAAGTAAGATGAGGACTGAGAACTGGACTGAGCAGCCTGAGGCTATCTGTTGACCTTGATGAGAGAAATTTTGGTGGGATGTGGAGTGGCAACAGCCTGAGAAGAGTGAATGTAGGGAGATATAAAGAGAGGACTCAGGGACCACAAGTGCAGATAACCATTTTGAGGACTTTTACTGCAAAAAAAGAAGCAAAGAAATCAGGCTGCAGAGGAGATTTTTATCTTAAGATGAGCCAATACCATGCGGTTCCCAATATATATCAATGGCAAGCTGCTTGAGACTGAAATATAATCACAGACGTACCCCAAGTCACACATTTCTTTAGATGGCAGTAATAGTAGCACAATTCTCAATTCTATCCTTGGTCAAAATAAATTATTTTGGTTTCCCTTCAATGATTAACTTAGAAAAATTCGTATTCAATCCTGCTAACAATTTAATACTTTTTAAACATATTCAATCAGGGCGCCTGGGTGGCTCAGTTGGTTAAGCAACTGCCTTCAGCTCAGGTCATGATCCTGGAGTCCCGGGATCGAGTCCCACATCGGGCTCCCTGCTCAGCAGGGGGTCTGCTTCTCCCTCTGCCCTCTTCCCTCTCGTGCTCTCTGTCTCTCATTCTATCTCTCTCAAATAAATAAATAAAATCTTAAAAAAAAAAAAAAACGTATTCGATCAATGAATGCCTTCTCCTAGTTCAACTTAGTTACCACAATTATCACCTTGGTAAAGTGTGAAAGGTGTACTTATCCTTCTATCCGTTCCTGCCAACATATGACACACACTAGTGCCTTCCCCTTTTTATTCTGAATCATCAAATTGTTTCTCTCCTTATCCTTTTGCTTCAAAGCAAAAAAAGATAAGTCTTCCAAAATTAGAAGACACACACACATTTTCAGGAGATGAATCCAAATCTAAAATCTCTGGTCACCCTTCACGCAGGACATCACTCTCACCATCAGCATCTCTACCTGCAGACTTCAGGCAACAGAGAACAAGTTGCTTTTCAGAAGCAAGATGCTCCTCAAAAAAAGCCATGCTATTCCACAGTCTTCCTTAGGAAGAGTTCATGTGGCAACACTGTGACATACTGTTGACAAGTTTCCATCAAACAGCACAGGGCTGAAGCTTTCCAGAACTGACATTAGTAGGACCAAGGGAAAAGGAGAGAGGTCAGTTAGTATTCACCTGTTTTCACACAGGTAAGCAAAATTTAACTTTCTGAGACATCTGTTGGATCCAGTATAGCAAAGAACTTTAGAGACTGGAAACATATAATGCAAATTTTAAAATATCCCTTTAAATAAACATTAAACACATAAATTAACTGTTTTGGTAAGAATGGCACTTAGGTGCCATTTGATAATATTTTTGATTATTTCAGTAATTGGTTACAAGTAAAAGTAATTAAAACAGAATGGGAGGTAATTCAATGCCTTTAATTGATCAAACATTTAATCAGAGCTTATAATGTACCAGATTCTGTGCTAGGGATACCAGGATGAAAAAGGACGTTTTTCTTACCTTTGAAGAGCTCACATTCCAACAGAAGAGACACAAATTTAAACAACGAAAATAGAATGCATGAAGTGTTCTAATAAAATATTAGAGACAGGTACAAAAAGATATAGAAGGAAAGAGCAGCTAATTCTGCTAAAGATAGTGGGGAAAACTAAAGAGAAGAGTTAATATGTGAAAGATAAAATTGTCTTTCTAGAGCTTGGAGAGGGTTGGGGGAGGCCAGAAACACAGGTCAAACAATTTAAGGCAGGGGTTTTGTAGTTCACTCAGGCTGATATAACAAAAATACAATAGATTGAGTGGTTCAAACAACAAATATTTATCTCTAATTGTTCTGGTGGCTGAGAAGTCCAAGATCAAGGTCCCTGAAGATTTGGTATCTGGTGAGAGCCTGCTCCCTCGTTCATAGAGGGCTGTCTTCTTGCTGTGTCCTCACATGGCAGAAGGGTCCAGGAAACTGAGATTTCTTTATAAGGATATTAATTCCATTCATGATAGCTCTACCCTCATGACTTAATCACCTAACATAAGCCTCATCTCCAAATACCATCACACTGCATGTTAGGATTTCACGTATAAATTTTATGGGGACACAAACAAGGGATAATAGCAAAAAACATGTTAGGATTTAACATATGAATTTTGTGGGGACACAAACATTCAAGGGGTAACAGCAAAAACAAAGGCAGTAAATATAACATGGTATTTTCAAGATGGAAATATATAGTCAACAAAATTCTAGTAGCCTGTTTCTCAAAAACAAGGCAGTCAGAGCAAAAGATAGATTTTTCTTTCCAGAAAGTAGCTCTCATGACAATACCTGGAAGGTGGTCTATTACTGAACATGAGAGGGGGCAGATATGGAAGTGGCAAAGGAAGACCATCACCTTATGAGGAAACTGCTTGAAGAAAGAAAGAAGGAAATTTATCATCCTTGATTTTTCTCTTTTCCTCACTACTATCTTCCCTAGCATTATCTCAATTATCAGCAAGTCTTATAGTCGCGCCTTTAAAGTATATCTCAATTCTCTCACTTCTCTCCATCTTCTCAGCTACCCTACCACTTCAAGCCACCATCATCATTCTCCTGGATTACTATAATCGCTAACCAGTCTCCCTGCCTCTTCTCTTGCTCCCTGACAATCTTATGTCCCCCAAATCCAGAGTTATCATTTTAAACCATGAATCAGATTATATTGTTCCCTGACTTAAAATCCTCCACCAGAATACAATTGCAATTAGAATAAAAATCCAAGTGTCTATTACTGTCTATATTAGGCTCCTATCCACCATCATCACTTATTTATTTTCTTTGCACGGAATCCTCTTTCCCATGCCTTAACATAGCCATGTTATTCAGTTTTCAGCTCAAATGTCACCCATGAAGGCCTTTTCTGATCACACTATCTAAAGTGGCTCCCTCTTTCCACTCTCTGCCCATTACTCTGCTATATTTTCTACAGAGCACTTATCACTATTTGAAATGATCATGTTTATCTTGAAAAAGTCTAAAATATCACGAGAATTACCAAAAGTGACACAGAGACACAAAGTGAGCAAATGTTGAAAAAATGGTACCAACAGACATGATCAACACAGGGTTATCACATACCTTCAATCTGTAAAAACACAGTATCTGCAAAGTACAATAAAACAAAGCACGACAAAAAGAGGTATGCCTGTATGCTTTACGTCTTTCAGAGACAGATGTTAAGTGTCTTGGTATCTAATACCATGAAGACTTTGGCCTCAAGGCAAGTGAAAATAGGCCCCATTTATACAGGATACTAAGTAAAAGCCCTATTTGGAGACTTCCCCTTCCCAGAAACAGCTACTTCCTGTGCGATGAAAACATTTACATGTTCATCAGTCTTAACAACATAAGTTTAGTTCTAAGAGTCAAAGGCAGAAGGAGTCACATGGAAGCTATTCATGGAGGCTCTAGCAAGAGCCTTCCAGAAGAACTGGGAAATAAGAGAAATTAAATTTTGTTACAAAAAAGTTATGAATAGTGTGACTGGAAATAGGGGAGTTTCAGAGGTAGAACTGGCACTGTGATTCTGTCCAACACATTCCATGGGAGAGAGTACCACTTCTAAAAGACATAAAAAGTCACCAGAGAGAAATCCTCCACTGCGCAAGATATCTAAGGCTTCACTGTGTGCTGAGTAGTCTCTACTTCCCCTTGTTTCCCATGCAACCTTCTGTTTACAAGAAGAGGAGAGGGTTGGGGGAGGCCAGAAACACAGGTCAAACAATTTAAGGCAGGGGTATTGTAGTTCTTAACAATAAAAAAATGATTAAAAAGATACGAAGTAAACAGAAACTGAAAAAATTCACATGAAATGTGCTGAGTAGTCTCTACTTCCCCTTGTTTCCCATGCAACCTTCTGTTTACAATTCAGCTTCCCTGGTACCTTGATGCTAGGAAAAGACAGAGGTAGATCAAGGCATTCCAGCCCCCCGAAAAAGTGGGATTGTCTGCAGTCCTTGTTGAGACTACATCACAGCCCAACTTCTCTCTCTGCCCAATCAGCCTCCTTCATTTCACTTCCATAGGTGATGATCCCAATATATGTCTTATATGCTAATGTCTAGTTCAAAGTTTGCATCCCTGAGAACCCAATCTCCAAACTCTATCTTAAAGCACAGTAGGATCCAGGTGTTCAAATGATGTTGTTGTCAGCAATCTATCTCTCTGTTCTGCATTCAATTCATTTTTGACAAGTCTCTCCTCTGTAGTAGAAAGTAGATTTTAGGCCATTTTACCAAAATTATTTTTTCCAAAATCAGTTCTGTGAAAATAAATTTGTCTAATAACTTTGTTGGTGTTAACATCTTTGTTGAAATTTTGCAAACAATTGCTAAAAATAAAGTTAAGCTCATATGTTATCTGAGGAAGTGGTATATGAAAGCTAAAAATGCCCCAAAGTGGAGGGAATATGACATAAAAAAAATCATCCAAAAGAAAAGAAGTTATTCTGTTTCTCACAATAAACAATTGAATATATGAACTTGGAAATAATTTAAGAGATTTGACTTTAAAAAATAAAATTATTTAAAGCAGTGTTAGGAAAATTAGGATGAACAGAGGCGACTGCTGTTATTATTGTAATGTACTAAGTGATTACTGTGTCATATTTGGCATATAGGAAACAAAAAAAATTTTGGAGAATTGGAATAGAAATTGATTAAAAATCCTAAAAATGATATGTTTAAAGTATAAAATTAACAGGAAAGAAGAAAAACTCACACCAAATATTAAATTTTACTACCACTTCTTGGAAATAAACTAAAATTTAAATATCACATGGAAGACTGGCAGAAGAATCTTAACAATAAAAAAATGATATTAAAAAGATATGAAGTAAACAGAAACTGAAAAAATTCACATGACATGCTCTAATAGTTATTGATGATGAAATATTGTTTTCTAAATATGAAATATTTATTTAGAAGAATAAATCACCCTATGATCCTTAGAATTTATCAACTGTAAATTCTTTAAGATGCTTATATAAAAATAACTAAAAAAATAAAAACTTATTTTTAAAAAGCATTTACATCTTTTAAAAGCATTCCAATAAGTTTAAATTGTAGTAATCCTTGTAAGTAGTTAAAAGAAATAAGATTTTGGTAAATCGGTAGATTTGTCATTGAAGCAAATTTTCATTTGGGAAATTTAATTTCAGAAAATTCATTTTCGTAGAATTGGTTTTCAGTGAGTTGGCCTGCCTCCAGCAAGACAGCCCTGGCAGCCACAGTTTTATATTCTACCAAGCCAATCAAGCCCATCTAAAATGCACACTTTGTTCCAAGAGTTCCAACTGAAGTCCTGGCATTACCATTGACCAAGACTGCTTGGGTCATGAGCTCATCTCTGTACCAGTGACTGTGGCCAGGGATATGGAACATGGTGATCATTCAAGCCTGATATCCTTCTGAAACCCTCTGGAACTAGGCGGGCAATCAGGCCCACCTGAATCACAGGGGCTGCAAGTGGAAAGGGAAGACTCACAAAAGGGAAACCTAGGTCTACTATCAGAAAAGAGGAACAGGAGGTATTTGTTATATCTTTCACTCTGAGACTTCAAAAAACTTTTTTCCTGTTTAGCAGCATTTCTCTAACCATTGCTAATGGAACCAAATTTCATCACGCTTTCAAGAGAATCTCTTATCATGCTTTCACTTTTTCAAGCACCTGAACTCAGAAAGGGCACAAAGAAAATTTTTTTCAAACAAAAATTTGTTTGTTCCCCTTTAACATGTTGTAAAGAAGAAATGGTGTATTTTTTCTCTATTGAATGATTTCTTTAACCACTCTGCCTTTTTGCTTCAATTCCAAAATTTAAATTAATATTCTATGCTTCTGACAAGAGGAAAGATGTTCCCAAGTTGAAGAACACACAATTTGATATATGTTTGATATATTTGATAGATGTTAGTTATTACATACTTCTATTAAAAATAGACTCTTGCCCTGCATTGGGCTCCCTGCTCAGCAGAGAGTCTGCTTCTCCCTCTCCCTTGTCCTCCCCCCCTGCATATGCTTACTCTCTCTCTCTCTCTCCCTAATAAATAAATAAAATATTTTTTAAAAAAAGAAAATAGACTCTGGTATACAAAACTTTTCTTGCTATATACTAAAATTTTTCATATTTTAATTTTTCAACATATGAACAGCCACTTTCTGCTGCTCAGGTGCAGGTGCAAAGTGGGTGGACAGAGAGTTGCTTGTGTGTAACCAGGAATACAACCTGATGAGTGTTACAGAAGGCAGGGGTGCAGAGGAGAAAGGGAGAGGGGTGTTGAGAGTGTCTGTAAAGGAGTAAAAAACCATCAAATATAAATTGGATAAGGAGAAAAGTGAGTCTGTTAAAACAGTAATAGACAATGAATAAGTAGTATATTAAATGAATTAGATCCAAATGTAATCAAATAATGATGAAGAAAAAATCAATAAATGACCTGGAAATATAAGATAGTTGATCTGACAGAAAAAAATAATGGCCTACTAAAGATGTCCATATCTTAATCCCCTGACCTGTAAATATGTTACCTTATATGGCAAAAAGAACTTTGTAGATGTGGTTAAGTTAAATATCTTGAAATAGGGAGATTTCCCTGGATTATCCAGGTGGGTCAGATATAATTACAAGGGCCACTAGTAGAGGAAAGCAGAAAAATCAGAGACAAATAAGAGATATGATGATAGAAACAGGAGTGAAAGTCAGAGGGAGATTTGAAGATGCCATGGTTCTGGTTTTGAACAGTAAGGAAGAGGTAACAAACCAAGGAAAGTAGGTGGCCTCTAAAAGCCAGAAGAGGCAAGGAAACATATTCTTCCAGAGAGCCTCCAGAGGAAATGCTGCTCTATTGAATTTTTGCTTTTAGCCTTTAAAACCCATTTCAGACTTCTGACTTCCAGAAATATAAGATAAAACAATGGTGTTGTTTAAGCCACTAAGATCGTTATAGCAGCAATAGGAAACTAATACAATTGGTTAAAGAGTGGAATGTTTGAATTCAGTATTTTAAAGGTGGAGTACCTCTTGGTAATGACAGAGTTTAGCACATGGACTACAGTGTGGTCAGGAAAAGTGAGGTCAAGAAGTTCAGAGGGGTTGAGTATGATCATCCTCAAGATTACTGAAGTCATCATAATGAAAACAGTGATCCAGGTTTTCAAATCTTCAGTGAATGATGGGGAGAGGTTTGTAGATTACCAAGAAGGGATGTACTTCAGAGGATCTTATCTTTTGGAGAGAAGAGGGAAATACAGCGATCTAGAAAGAACAGTGAAACAGAAGGAGGACATCTACCTCATCTTCAGTCTCCATTATATGTAGGAGGTGAGATTTTAAAATTGCCACCAATAAAGAGAACTAGATGAGAATCAATGTCCTCAGGAATGACCATGTCTCAGTTCAAGAAAAAAGGGTAAAGGGAATGATGAGAGAAGAGTTACAAGTATCAAGGACTTCAGATTTTCATGATACACTGTAAAAGCACAGTGAAAGAATTTGAAATATGGTGTGAAGGCAAATGACATGGTCATATCAGGAGATATTTGAAGCTTATGGACCATGAGACCAGGTGATGATCTGGAAATTTGAACTGAAATTTGGGGGCTTCTGAAGGTGACTTAGATAAACATGAGAGAAAAGTATAATGGGATTTGTCCTGATGCTTTTTTTTAGAAGGGTAAGCAGTTTAAATGCAGCATTTTTTGATGATTATTACCTTGGATACTTGTAGTCATAAGATAAATGAAGAGTGATTGCTTTACCAGAAAAAAGTGAGGTCTCTGGGCTTCCTTCCCTTAAGCTTGTCTTAGTGAGGTAGACTCATCAAACACACAGGACTGGGAGATCTTGCTGAAATCCAGTAGTCCATGGAACCCTCAGGCCTCCTTTGCAAACTCCAGAGAGTGGACCATGGCTATGGGAAAGGCAATGAAGCTGTGGACCTCTTACCAATCTGCTGTGGAACCTGTTGGGATCATGGTGGAGAGAGGGACAAGCCAAGGAAATTAATGTTATCGTATGAGGGTTTTCCTAGATCGGCAGTCCTATTATTTCTATGAACTCCAGTATCTTCAGTAAATATTCTATCTAGAAACAGAATCCCATATTTGGAGAAGGAATAATTTATAAGAAGAACTGAATAGGTTAAAACAATTGGAACAGAAAATGAAAAAGAGAAAATGCTACAAATGAGAAACAGCACAGACTGAAATGGCTTTCACAAACACAGAAATGAGAATGACTTTTTATAACCTATGAGTGTTTGGGCAATCTTAAAAACTCAGACCTCTGGTAGAAAGAAATCCCTATTCACCAGAGAAAAAATATATTCATCAAATTTGTTCTAAAAGTAAATTCTGTTTCTTTATAACCAATAGCGCTACCCCAGGAGGACAGCTTAAAATTTTAGTTTGCACATTAAATTTACACATTTTAGTTAATACTGAAAGCCAGTGAAATTTTATGTGAAACTACATGATAGGATGGATATCAGTGAATACAGGATGAGGGGTCCTTAACTTCCTTGAAATCCTCAAAATGGTTTCATCTTAAAAACAACAACAACAACAACAACAACAACAACAAAAACACCACAACACACTGCTCTAGGACTTTATAATGTAAAACAAATTAATTCTGATATTGTTAATAGCATAAACAGATAAACCAGAAAACAATGTGTTAAAATGTTAGACTTTCATTCTCAAAATAGTGAATGGAGAGGGATGGGAGTTTGGTGGGTACCAGAAGGGAGGGGAGGGTAGGATGAATCAGGAGCATACAGAGGATTTTTAAGGCAGTGAAGCTATTCTGAATGATACTCTGGCGGTGGATACATATCATTATACATTCATCAAGACCTATAGAATGTATACTACAAAGAGAGAATCCTAAAATGACACTATGAATTTTAGTTAATAATAATCTATCAATTACGGCTCATCAACTGTAACAAGTATAGCACAAAAATGCAAGACATTAATAATAGGGGAAACCACTGGGTTCAGGGAGGTGTATGGAAACTGTACTTTCCACTCAATTTTTCTATAAACCTAAAACTGCTTTGAAAAATAAACCCATTAAAAAAAAAAGATGCTGCTGATCACTTTGAATAAAATGGATTGGAGTAGAGCTAGAGTGGAAGTAGAGGCCCAATTAGGAGACTTCTGCAATCAGGTCAAGAGATGGTAATAAATTGGACTAGTGTAGATAAGTATAAAAAGGGGAGAATCAAAATATTTTAGGGCGTTGGTATGAGAATTAGTAGTAATTTGAATATGGGTTAAGAGGGAGGGGGATGTACTAATAAATGACATAGTTTTTTGGCTGTGTAATAGAAAACAAGCAAAATTCCAAAGTACAGATTTTGAGAGATGGATACTTTCCGAAGCCACCAGGATGGGTCCATGGCAGCAAGGGATTTGTGAAAGATAGCTAGAAAGTTCAAAGGGACATTCATAAAAGAAGCTAATGGAATAATACTTTACATCTTAGAATTGTTTCAATATTCCCATCCTATCCTTGTCAACTCGGGCTGTTATAACAAAATACTGTAAACTAGGTGGCTTAAATAATACATATTTATTTGTCAAAATTCTGGAGGCTGACAAATCCGAGAGCAAGGTGCTAGCAGATATGCTTCCTGGTGAGAGCCAGCTTTCTGACTTGCAGCAGGCTGCCTTCTCACTGAGTTTTCATAGGGTAGAGTTGGCGGGGAGAAGCACTCCCCTCTCTCTTCCCCTTATAGGATGTTAATCCCATCATGAGGGCCCCACCCTCACGACTTCATCTAACCTAAACCTAACTTCATCTAACCTAAACTTCATCTAAACCTAATTACTTCTTAAAGTCCTTACCTACAAACACTGCCTACTAGAAGGTGGGGGAGGAACAGAAAACTATCCCCCAAATTGAGGAAGCACTCTGAGATTGAAAAACAAAGCAGGCGACTGACTCCATACAGTTCACACAGTTTTATTCAGGGTAACTTACTGCCAGGATGGACTGGGCAGGTGATGACCCAGACCCTGAACAGCTATTCTCTGCAAAGTCTGGACCTTAGTCTATAAATTTTATAGAGCAAGGGGACAGGTGGTGGGGCAAGGGTGGTGGGCACTATAGAAAGACCAAAGAGTTTGCATGCATTTCAAAGGGTTGGCACACCTAATTGACAGCTAAACTTTAGATTTTGTGGGCCACCTGTGAGTCAGGAAAAGAAAAAACTATGTTGTCTCTAACAGATTTATGGAAGCCTGAAGTAAGCCTCCCCCCATCCCAGCCTTGATGGCTATTTCTAAAGTATGTATATTAATCTCCAAGAGGCCCAGAACATGTAATCCCAACACTGTCAGCACTCCTACACCATCATGTTCAGGGCAGGGGCTTTAACATAGGAATTTTGAGGAGACACAAACATTCAGTCTATAACACACCTCTAGCCCTAAGCCAGAACCGCATTATTGTATAACATAAATTTAACTCCATACAACTTAAGTACAAGATTATATATGCAAAACAATACTTAAGATTTTAAAAGCAACCAGTTATTTAAAATAATTTAAATATTTAACATTTTGAAATAAAACTTCCTCTCTCAAAGGAAGCTCAGTGTTCACAGATGCTGTTTGTTGTATTTTTAAGTCCACCCTGTCTCTCTCTCTCTCCACCCCCCTCAAAAAGCTGATTTCCTAATAAGCAAGGACACATGTATCCTATTCTCCAATTTCCATCAATGAAAACTAGCAGCAAAAATGCCCCAGAACTCTAAATTTACAATGATCACATTAGGGGAGAATAAAGCAATCAAGATCCAGATAATTTTGGACTTTATAGTCCGTAGTCAACACCTTAAATCTCATCTGGAATCAGAGCAGATCACAGAGCAGTGATGTAATAGCCAATGAAAACATTATCACAGCTTGATTATGTAGTAATATGATGCATTTCTCATGTTTTCATTAAAAGAGCATCATACCCACAAAACTTTTGAATAGACCATCTCTGGAGAGAGTAGTTCAAAATTATCATCTTATTAAAATATAACTCCTGCTTTGGTTGCTTTTACTTGTTTTCTTTAAAGTTTCAAACTATGGTATATGCAGCCAGAAGAACACAGATTATCCCTGAGACCTAACACAACAGGGCCTTATGTTAAACAGAGGCCCAAGAGTCTAATTACTATGCTGCTTCCTCAAAATGTATTCCCTTCACCCACCACCTGTCCATTCTATCCCCAGGGCATCAACTTCTGAGTTGAGATGTACACTCCAGCTTTTATGCCTGGCCCAACCTCATTCATTTTAAGTCAGTTTTGGTTTTTGTTTTTTCTTTTTTAAAAAAATCGCCTCCTTTCTGTCACAGAGCCTCAGAGAGTTCTGCACCTGAATGTCATAACTTGTCATGACCTAAGCTTGTATTCACTGACGGGAACTTGGGAGAAAATGAGCTGGGAGAAATGGATGAGACCAGCGGAAAGTCAGAAAAAAAGCTATGGATTAAAAAAAAAAAAAAAAAAAAAGATGGAAGAAGAGGAGGATATTCAGGAGTTTTCCTCAACCTCTCATTTCCCCAAAATTACATCCACGGCCTGAGAGCTGTTCTTGATCTCCATTCATTTAACACTCACAGATCACAAGGATTTCAGGCAGAACACAGGGGAAGCTAGAGCTGTGAGAGGTCATTAGTCTTCACATGGGTAGAGAAAGAATGCGTAGTCGTCCCCTCATCCTCAGTGACCTGTTGTAAATGATAATTTTTATGTCAAACTGAAATGTTCTTCATTCTTTCTTATGTAAATGTATAAGGGCTATTCTACACTAAGATGGGTCACCAAGGTAGCTTATAGATTTTCCTTCCCTTGAGACCTTTAAAGAAGATAAATATCAAACTGTCTTTGAAGGATGACATGGAATCCTTATGACAGGTTGAAGAATGAATTAAAAAACCTTGGCTGTCCCTAGTGCCTATGAGTCAGGAAAAGCAAAATGAAACAAAACATTAGCTATCTTCACTATATAAAACAATTCCTTTAAACACTCTCTATTTCTAGTGCAATTTTTCTTTTTTAAATGTAACTCTCTGCCACCCTGACATTAAATGTCAAAGTAGCACCAACTCTGTCCATTTGAGCTACAAAATTAATTGACTACTATGAAAAATACCAATGTAGCATAATGAGCCACAGAAGACCCATATCAACACTAAATTAGAAGACATAACTGCCTTTTAGAACTCAGTTATGCCCAAGTCTGCAGTGTCTAGTAATTAATGCAGGGTGACTGGAATGTTTATTAAAAGTACTAGGATATCTGACATCTTCTGAGTAGACATAGAATCTAAGACAAAGATAAGTTCATCTCTTTAGAACTCCAGGTACTAAGAGCTGATGAGTCTTAAAATAGCAACAGGTTGACCAATGTCTGGCATATAGTAACTAAATGCTGAATAAATGGACTATATTTCTTTCTTCTGTCCTTTGTTCTTTTTAAGATGACTAGTTACTGCCCTTCACAATATGCTCAGACCTCTCTCTCCTTCCGGTATGAAATGTGGATTAACATATCTTTGCTTTCTTTTTCATTCAGAGTATAATTGCCTGGACGGCTACATGTACAAGAAGGAAACTGGACCACTGTCTTACACCATATACAAAAATAAACTCAAAACGGATTAAAGACTTGAATGTAAGACCTGAAACCATAAAACTTTTATAAGAAAACATAGGTAGTAAGTTCTTTGACATTGGTCTTAGCAATATTTTTTTAGACTAGTCCCCTCAGGCAAAGGCAACAAATGCTAAAATAAACAATTGGGATGGCATCTAACTAAAAAGCTTTTTCATAACAAAGGAAACCATCAACAAAACATAAATGCAGCCTATTGAATGAGAAAAGATATTTGCAAATCATACATCTGATTAAGGAGTTAATATCCAAAATATATAAAAACGTACATAAGTTAATATCATAAAACAACTTGATTAAAGAATGGACAAAGGGCTTGAACAGACATTTTTCCAAAAAATACATACAGATGGCCAACATACAAATGCTCAACATCACTAATCAGGGAAATGAAAATCAAAGCCACAATAAGACATCACCTCACACCTGTCAGATTGGCTATTATCAAAAAGACAAAAATAACAAGTGTTGGTGAAGATGTAGAGAAAAACTCGCCCTTGTACACTGTTGGTGGGAATATAAATTGGTATAGCTACTATGGAAAATAGTATGGAAGTTCGCTAAAAAACTAAAAATAGAACTACTATACAATCCAAAATTTCCACTTCTGGGTATTTACCTGAT